ATTGTACTTCGTTCAGTTACGTATTGCTCTGGACATAAAGCACGCTCGATGTAGCTCAACCGATGTAATCTTGTGTAAGGCGTAACTCAACCAAATCAGCTCCGGATCAACCTACTTTAATCATGGAAATGAATGTCTAGAGCAGGAGCATCGTCCATAAATAGAATGCACAAAAGTTTGGGAATGCACAAAAGTGGCTATTAGCTGCCAATGTATGGCATAAAAGTGAGGGTTGCGTACCTATCTGGCCATTGTCCCTGAAGTCCTGACTTTTTAGCTGAGTTACCAAGAGGTCCTTCTGCATCTTTGGCTCTCCAGGGGTCTAGCTAGCCTTGACAATGAACAAAGACCACCTCTCATATAGCATCACGCTTACAAACATAAAGTTTTCCTGTATCCTCCAAACTTTACAATCCAAACGTGGAGTTTTTATTAGAGCAATGTGCTCGGCTTGGTCAACTACCTTGGAGTTTTCAGCAGTTTCACGATCAAGCTTGCCAATCCCAGATTTCGCAATGTCGCTACTACCAGCCAAACTGGATCCAGGGATGGTCGACCTCTTCGACGACGACGACCAAAAACATTTTTGGGCTGTTTGCGACATTGAACGCGAAACTTTCACACAAGAGTGCTGTTGGCCAAGCCGAGCCCATTGCTCTATTCCCAAAACCCCACGTTTCATTGTAAAGTTTGGAGATACAGGCACCTTTATGTTGCGTAAGCATGATGCTATATGGGAAGTGGTCTTCGTCCAATGTCAAGTCGCTGGACGCTTGGCAGAGCAAAAGATGCGGAGAACGTTTGTGTAACTCAGCTACTTTACATGACTGGAAGGATGGAAGGATGATACTATATACTGTTGACAAAAGCCCGTTGCGAGCTAGCCATTTCTTCACAATAGCCACTGTTGTCCCTCTATGACATGTGGGCGATTCTCCTGCTTCAGGCATTCATTTCCATGATTGGATTATGTTGATCGAGTTGATTTGACCGAGATACAGCCAAAGAGGGATTACATCAATCCGCATCTAACCATGCTCTATGTTGCTCAACTGAAGTAACCTTGTATGAGCGTAGCTCAGCCAAATCAACTCGGATCAACATAATCCAATCATGGAAATGAATGTCGGCTCCAGGAGCACCGTTCCACTGTCATAGAATGGGCAGCATTGCCGATTGTGAGAGAAGTAACTGTTGGCTCGCAATGTATGGGATGTTGTCAATAGTATACGGTATCATCCTTCCCGTCCTTCCAGTCATGCAAAACAACTGAGTTACACAAAGGGGTCCCTCTGCATCTTTTGCTCTGTCGGGGTCCAGCGACTTGACATTGAACGAAAACCGCACTTTAGCATCGCTTATAAACAAAAGGTGCCTGTATCTCCAAACTTTACAATGAAACGTGGTGTTTTTATTGAAGCAATGTGCTCGGCTTGGCCAACTGCACCTTGTGTGAAAGTTCTACGTTCAATGTCACCAACTAGCCCAAAAAATATTTTTGGTCGTCGAAGAAAGTTTCAAAGAGGTCGACCCCTGGATCCGTTTGGCTGTTAGCGACGTACGAGAATCTGGACCGGCAAACCTGATCGTGAAACTGGCACCCAAGGTGCAGTTGGCCAAGCCAAGCATTGCTCTGTATGTGGAATACAGGCACCTTTAATGTTTTTACATATGATGTAAGCGTGATGCTACACGGGAAGTGGTCTTTGTTCATTTTGTCGGTGAAAACGATACATATTAAGAACCAAAGTTGCAGAGGACCTGTTTGTGTAACTGGAGCAGAGGAACGAGACTTAAAGCGTCGATACTATTGGTGGAAAGATGCATGAAGTAGCTCCATCCCTTATTGCATGGTCCGCCTATGATAGGCCGATGTGATGGTTCGTTCTTATATAAGGTTGCATACGATAGCTTTAGCTAAAACTTGTCATAGGTAAGCATGGCATGATCATGTACTCATGCCACATTGTATCACTCCTTCTTGGACATAATGAAATAAACATACAATGAACCAAGCTTATGTATATAGACTTCAATTTCGCCACAGTAAAACGATGTATAGCTTAATTGCAAGGGATGTGTTTAATTGAATCTCGAGTAGTGGTCGTTACTATTGACCCAAGTGTATAGGCTATTATTGAGGGATCTATCTCCATAGCAGTAACTGTAGCAAGCGGGGTGGCGTGGAGTGCACAAATTGGGAAGTGGCAGGAACGACAAAGAGCCCTTTCTTCTTCACTCCCACTTCACAAAGCGAGGTAAGAGTAACTCTATAGACAAACTACAACACATTAACAGCTAGCATTCCTTTCAATGTACAGTGCCAATTGGGTGAACAGGTGGTCAATGACGACGCTTTCCAGTTGCAGACATTCAACAACAAGTACACGCGCGATCTACCCATGAACTCAAGCTTCCATTGCAATACAACATGTACGTTCAATCGTTGCATTACTTTATTATTCAAGTTGGGTGTTGAGATACTAAAGTTGACGTGTAGTTAGCTGTTCTCTTGTTCATACAGGATACAAAGGGAGTGTCGTGTGTATTCTTTTCCATGGTTGTCACACAAGGAACACGTCTTTACATTACTACTTTGGGTATGCTGACAAGAAAAGCAATGCTGTGATTGTTATCTTACGTTGTATTATTATAGCTTGGGCATGCTGGTGATGGTACCTCTGGCAGCAACAAGACACTGATCTCAAAGCAAGAATGCTGTACGTTGGCTCAATGGTACGCATGATATTGGATCTACAACGCAAGACTTGTTGTTTAACAAGCTTTACAATGGAACAGCAGCAGCACAATATGGATGGCATGGAGATACGGGGCTTTATTCGAGGGAAGGAGACTATTGAGAAGTACCACAAGGTAGGGTTGTTCATTATGGGAGGATGTGTCGCATACAAGAGCACTTACGATGGAAGCTTTGTGGTGAAAGGATCAAGAAGGCTTTTCCTCGGTCATATCATTGGTGCGTCAAGAATGTTATTGTACTGTGTACTGCCTTGGGGAGACCATGTTGCCCTTACCACCTCCTGTGGAAACATGTGCTCATGGTGCTATGGCTTATTGCAAGACCAATTTAAATACGCATCCTCTGTTCACTGTTGCAGCATGCGGATCCACGGCTCAATGTGGTGTCAAAGTCGACTGGTGAAGGGCTCAAGAGTCTCTGTTAAATCCGGTGTTTTGGCATCGCGCTTCCTTCGGGAAAGAGCTAGTAGGCAGTACTGGTACCTTGGCATTCTTTGGCGTTGCACCTATTTTTATTACTATTATTTCTGGCGGCGGCATTCCTAGCGGATCACTGCACCCTGATTGAGAGATCCAAGTACGTATCATTTCAATGTCTTTTGGAAACTTTCTGCTGGGATCGAAGTATGCTTGCTGACATCATATGTCTTTTCAAGATGGGTCATCATTCATTGAAGTCCTCGTGATTATAGCTATCATTGCTAAGTATTGTTTTGCATGTTTGGAGGATTGTTTACGGTGGATCTTTTATAGGTGGATCATGTCAGGATCAAGGAGCAGCGTCTATGGTATCTTTCAGCATCAGCCTTCCTTATTATGTACATCGTTCGATGATTCTCGTTACCACGTATTGGACACTTCCTTTGATGTGCATCTCCAACAACAAAGCAACAACTTCTATATCTTTCGGTGTCTCCAAGCTTTATCTCTGATTGTGGTTCTGGTCGTCGACATTTCTTTTGATGGATATCCTGCTACGCATGCCTGTTATCGGCGGATCATATCAGCAATGAGCAACAGAGACCATGTCTTTACCGTCAACAACGTTTACTCGGTCCTCTGGTGGTCCTCGTTATTGACCAATTGCTTTCAAGAGCATTCTGCAGCGCATGTCTCTCATAGGTGTATCAAATCAGCAACAAGCAACAATGTTACGTATCTTTTTGGCGCTATCAAGGTTTATCCATCGCTCAAGGCTTTCGTCGTAAAGTATCGCCCCCATCCTTTGGAGAAACGGCTACTAGAATTGGTCATTGTATGGATATCTATGCAGCAAGGACATTGGTTTTGGTTGCTGGGTGGCATCAGGCATCGTGGATTTTCATATGACTCTGGCTAAGTATTGCTACCATTACCTCAAAGATAAATCAGTAACACAGCACGTTTATAGGTCTACGATGCCATCAAGCTATCTTTGCATGCTCTTTGATTCCATGAAAGTCTCTCCTCACAGTTGTCAGTGGCGATCCCTATTGCTTTGAAAGACGACGGACGATCGACATTTGAATTTGGGTGGATTTCCCAGAAGCAAGTAAGCGATCTCTGATATGGGGATATTGGATCATCTTATGGATGTGGTTGTCAAGGATACCGTTTCGATGGTTTTGGAAATCAGCGACCTGCCACTCGACTCTTTTATTGGTGGATCATCAAAGCAACACCTGTTATCGGTGCCGTTGTAGTCGTTCTTTTTTCAACCCCTCAACATCATCTGGAATCACTTTTCAAATTCTGCGTATGCGTTGTACAAGTCATCATCCCCATGCGTGCTGTTCGGCCGAGACATTCTTTATTTGTGGTGCGTGATGGTTGTTATTCTTCTTTAAGAGGGTGTCATGTGTACTCACTTCCATTGCTACGAGAAGGGTGCTTGGCAACAAGATATTGATCTCATCGCAAGAAAGCTGTATGCATGCCCAAAAGTGCAGTTATTTCATTCGTTTCTAGTGCTGGTGATGTAAGTGTAGTTTCAATGACTCCATGACGATTAGCGTATTCTTTATGCTGATGCGGGTCTTTATACGTAGATGAACCGTTGCAAGCAATTGTTCTTGGTGTCATTTATTAAGGCTTACACCCACTGCTGCTTCTTTACTGAAATGAGGATCATTGCAACAAACAACCTGTTCACAACATGTGCTTCTCAAGTCCCAAAGGTTATAGCCGACATTCTTCAGTATTACTCCTACCAGCAACTCGCGTCCTCAAGGTGGATCGTAGCAGCAGCATTTCTTTTCATCATGTCCTTCAATGTTGCACAATCGTTTTTTGGTGATCATGTATCGTTCCCCTTGAAGGCATCTACAAGTACTTGTTGGACACCAACTTTATTCGATCATCATATGGATTCGGTCGACCTGTATCATCTATTGCCTTGGGAGATCAACAGCGCGTATCTTGGTTATCAGATCACTGCAACAAACCTATTCACCATTCATTCATGCAAGCCGTGGTAGCTGACGTCGTTGGCTCTTATGGATCAGCTTTCTATGCGCATTGGATGACATGTACCTTCCAAGGACGAGATCGACTCGGTCCCAGTGGCACATTCAGGATTAGTTGTTATTGTTATTGGCAATGTGAGGATGGAATTGGATCTCCCTGATGGAGTGTGTAACAAATCCTAAAAGAAGTAAAGTCTGTTTTCGCCATTTTACTTGAGATTACTTAAGCAACCTTGCTGCGAGCTTCTTGTGATAATACTCTTAGTGATGAGAGCATGGATACATTGATATCAACCATTACCAAAGTCGTAAGCGTGTGAGTGCTGCAACGTATTGAGAGGACATCGTTTCATGTAGTGATGCATGAATACTGTATCACGTCGCTGAAGTAATTCCTATGTTATAGTAGCGACCAACGACAACGTTAAGGAAGAATGAAATGGGCGTTAAGGAATGCTTCGGTGGAGGGTGGAAATTTCTGGCTGATCCATTTGGTGGCAAATATGGGCGGGCTTTAGATCGACCTGGTGCGCGGAATGACAATCCGTGGCAACATTCACAAAGGCCAATGGTTATCAAGAGGACATTCTGTTGCTGAGTATTGCATTGAGCCCGCATGGTGCATAACTATTTTGGATGAGCGTTTGTTATACTCACTAATGCTTTATTGAAGAGTAATGGTAAATGTTCAATATGTGCCTGACGCACCATGTTGTTTGTGTTCCCTGCCGAGAAAGTAGACGAGGCACACACATAGAACCGATGATATGGATACAGGCACAAGTATCGAGATTACTACTATGTGTAATATTAACATCGTTTGTACACATACGCTGTAGTAGCAACATTGATATCTATCATGCAAGGATGTTAGGATTGGATAATATAAACATGCCCCAACAGATCCTTGATGGGGGTACCGATTCCTCGGCACAGCAATATAGTTGATTAGTCCCTATAACACAAGCTCGTAACATCCGTACACCCGTGATCTAAGATAATCGAGTGATACATGGCACATAGCGTTTGCACACAGGATTAACGGGGCCCTGGTTCTGCTAGTAGCGTTAAACAACCATCGCTAGGTATCTTGCTGTTTGCGTATACGTAACAAGTGTTCCATGCAGGGGGTGAAGCAGGGTACATATATACCAGCTGCAGTGCTCACATGGCAAACATGCATATTACACACTTTGTCCATGAGAAAAAACGTGAGAGAGTTGGCTTAGACACTTGTAGAATGCTAGCGAGCATATCGCACAGTGGTGCTTACGTGTGTAAATTCTTGTCGATGCTTCTGTGTCACTCGGCCATTAAAGCAGTGAACCAGAATAAAAGTTATAAACCTTATCAACGCATCGACCAATGCCAATAGACAATGGTGGATGAGTCGATTGTTGGCACATGCACGATAATGCACATGTTCCGAACCCCCGGTTAACAACACACCAAAAAAATACCCGATCCACTAGAGTGGTAAGGTAAGAAAAGTGTTCAACGAGCAGAGCATAGTTCGAGTGACAAGAGAGTGGTGAGCATATGCAGCGGGAGATTGTTTGTCTCACCGCATGTGTTGTTAATTTTAGAGTTTATCCAAAAACCTAATACACAGGGTCCTTCTAGAGTCCCTCGATGTGCCACCTATTTACTCGTGTTCAGGTGTACCCCGGATGAGGCGGTGCCTATTTGCTCGTGGTTTGTTGTAGATTGAGCTGGGTACGCTGCTTTTGGTTGTTGTTGCCTCTTTGTCACTTTGTACCCGAGTGTGACAAAAGCTGCGGGTTGTCATGGCAAAACAACGCTTTCGGCACTTGACATTGATTTTAGCGGGATTGCAAAAAAAGTGAAAAAAGGAGGATCGTGCGCGTTGAGCGATAGCGGTGTGTGTGTGCGTGTCCCAATGGCTCAAAAGGAGATAAATATACGTGGCTTTCCATTGAGACGAAGAAGACGGCGATAGAAAAATGAGAAATACCCAGCAGAAAGACAAAGGAAGGGGGGTAATATAATGTGGGATATAGCGTGACAAATGAAACGCAATGCAACCAGGGTAAATAGTAATACCGTGCACGACATACTACGGCGATCAGTCGATAGTAAGAGTTGATGATGGATCGGCAGATGTACACTCTTAAATATACACGAATGACTAATAGCTATCCCAATCATGAACACGATCTAAGTAATCCTCTATCTCGATTTATAGGGTGTATGTACTACTATGCATTCGATCGATCGTCAGAAAACGAAAACGAAATAGATGGGTGGGAAGATGTTTAAAAAGGAAAAGTGTGAAAGGGGACAAGGAAAGAAATTTGGTGCAGCCATCCGCACCTTGTGCATCGGTTACTAAAACGATAGGCTCCTTGATGTCGGATCATGTTGTACAAGCGAAAGCCATTGTCCTCCATTGATCGAGTTGTATACGTTTGTTGTTTCTCTTCCGCCTTTTCTCCTTCCTTTCCCTCACCACCACAAACCCACCTCCCCCCTTTTCTTCTCTCATTGCTCTCGTGCTCTTTGTCATTTGTCATTGACCTTCTTCACACATTGCCATGTCTGCACCTGTCGATGACAATGGGCACCCATCGCTAGCTTTTCTACGTAAAAACTCGGCTGCTCGTCGTGAACGTATGGAGAAAGGGCTTAGTAGAGCATCCAGCCAAGCTACAACTACAACCAGCAGCAGCAGCAATACGAGTTCATCCGTTCGTTATTATCCTAGCGACAGCAGCAACATGACGACGGCATCCATCGAGCATTATCTTGCTTCTGCACCCTTACCACCACCTCCTCCACCAGGCCCACCCTCTTCAGCACCCCCTGGCCATCAACAGATTCTCACGGATGATCACTTTGACATTATTGATAGTCTCAACTATGATGACATTGATGATGGCATGTTTGGTATGGTATCATTACCTTGTACCACCTGTAATTCCAACCCATGCTAAAACATACATCCACACATACACACATTGACAGAACGAGAACTGGACCATCGACGACGAGAGACTTTAGTTCAACAATTGATCACTTCCGAGCGTGCCTACTTTGAATCCCTGAGAGTGGTGCAACAAGTCTTTATTGAGCCGTTACAAAAGGATGCCAAGCAATCCTCATTCAATTTCCTTGGAATGAAAAAACTTGTATGCACCGAACGAGAGACTCGATGGTTATTCGGCAACTTTGATGAAATTGTTCAAGTTCATCAAGAGATCCTTGCAAGTTTAGAGGAGCGGTAAGTAATCAAATTCCCCCTTTGTTACACGTTGAATGGAAAAGAAGAAACAAATTATACATGTTGGGAATAGTCACTGATCAGGTACAATTCATAGCTTGCGCATTTGGGGACCTACGCAGATTATTTCCGACGTGTTTCAGAGCTGGGTAAGAAAAAGCAAAACAAAGATATAGCAAGATTGGGTTCATGCGCTTTAATGGCGGCTAATGATATTTTTGGTTTAGTTCACTCGTATGGAAGCATACAAGGCTTATCTTGACAATTACGGCCTTGCGATTACGACTTATGAGCGTCTCACTCGCTATCAACCTTTCAAAAAGTTCATTGATGTAGGTTACCCCAATATCAATCCAAATTTGTACTTACATGCGTGACCTTCTTGTTATAGAACGCACACAAAAATCCAGCTGTCAAAGGTGCCACCTTGCTATCATTATTGCAAACACCAGCAGGATGCATTAGCCGCTATGCACAATTGATGACTAAACTTGCCGATGCCACATCTCCTATGCACCCCGACCACGTTGCACTGAACCAATGCAGGCATCGTATGCAAGCCATTGCAGAGGAAATGAAGAAAAAGTAAGGATTCTCGACCATCTTGTTGACACGTGTATGTGGGAAAACTTATTCTTACTTTGTAATATAGAATTGACGATGCTGATAATGTGGATCAAGTGCTCATGATTCATCAAGCATTGGTTGGAGCTCCATTTGGTGTCAAGGCACAACGACGCCTCGTGTTACAGAGCCCAATGTCGCGTGTCCAGGCCGGTGGTTCAAAGTCCTCGGGTGGCGGTGGTAGCAGTGAAGAGCGCATCTACATCTTGTTTTCCGACATGCTTGTGTTTGTACGACCTAAACAAGAAGGCAATCGCACCTTGCTGCAATTTCGAGGCATGGCACCACTTGAACGTGCCCGTGTTAAGCCCATTGATGATACCTCCATTGAAATCACATCTCCCATTCAAGGTGTGGATACGCTGAATACAACCTTTGTTGGTAGCAGCTCCGTACATGTTATGCAAACGGAAAGCAAGGATGAGCAAGAACGGTGGCTCAAACATTTGCAATCAGTAATTGAGGAATTGGATCGTGTTGCACGTGCTGCTGCAGCAAAGGGTGAGTTGTCAATAATGGTAAAAGCAACAGAATTCATTCTAACCCAACCTATTGGTAGCTAATCGAAGACGAGCTGGTCATCCAAGAAAAGACAATCGCTCTCTATCATCCTCAGGTAGCAGCGAAAAAGATAAACAAGATTTGAGAAACTAGATGGTCAAAGTCCAACTCGCCAGTTTCCCAAAAGCGAGGTCGCTGGACGACACAGGACTTTTTTTTTTTTTAGCCATTCTTTTTATTTACAACAAAAAAGTTTAGCATTATTGTATGTGTAATATGCAGACGCGTCTCCTATGATATTTATTCTCTCTTTCCCTTTCATCATCATCATTTGATCCCCCTCCTCACCTTTCAACTTTACATTTTCAGTATTCCCCAAACCATTCCTTCTCCTTCAAGCCAGTATAAAGCAGTTCTTCATTGTTAGATACATACAATGTGAGATAAGGGGTAAAATGGTAACTGTATGCTATAGATGCATGCGTAGTTGGATAACAAGGTGAGGGGGAAAAACAACTGGTATTATTCGCTGTCGACCCATTCAGCTGCCAGTGGTCCAAAGTAAGGCACCATTGTCCGCTCTAAAGATGCTCCATCCAAGTAGGCACGATACCTAACGTATGCGTAAGCCCACCATACATGATCCATAATCCATAATCCTCATCCACACAATAATGACTTACACAAGGGCCAGAATGAGTAAAATGTCGATAGCAAAGAGCATCCATGATAATACGCTGGAGATGAACATCAACACAAAGTGCACACACATGAGTGATAGAAACAAAGCAGATGACTATAGTAACATGTATCATCAGTATTTCCTTCTCCAAAATCCATCGCATCACGTTACTTGCCTGCCATGCATGAAATCGCACATAATCGTTCTTTGTTTCAAGGATCAAGAAAAGGATGCCTAGATAGAATGTTAGAGTCCTTCCTATATGCTTCTTGGTAGTGCGTGTTTTGTCTCACCTGTAATAGGCCCGAGCACGTACGTCAAGGCTGCTTCAATATCCACTCGTATAGGTAAACGTGTTTCGTACTTGTTCACACGCACTGTAGCATTGGGTTGTAAACCTGATGATTCGCCACCGAAACCTTGTTCATAGAGCGATGGGTTGTGTGTGCCGGCTTGGTAGCTTGAGAAGCCGCCACCGGGAACACCAGCTGTGGTCGGATTAGTGGAGACTGGTTCATAGCGATTGCTGCTGTTTGGTTTGCTGCTACGTGATTTGCCCTTGGATTGCCGTTCATGTTGTTTCCTTCGATCGTCGTCTGGCGAAGGTCGATAAGGCGAGAAATCCATGTTAGTCAAGAAGAGAAAAGAAAGGAATGCAAGCAGTCTGATAACATACAACCCCGACCTTGAATATCATGCTTGGCACCATCACCACCACTACCACCAATGCAAGCACTTGGCAAGAGATGGTGTCATTATTATACGCATTACACTACAACACTACTCTACTCTACACTTGCTATTATCATTTACGTATAGGATGAGTTCCTTGCCCTTCTTGCTGTTAGTGGTCAAAGGAAGCGCATTGATCAACATACAGCAGCTTAGCATCCATAATGACCTGGAAATTCATCATCCAATGAAATAAACTTATCCTTCTCCACTCTATTGCACAATCTACAAGATAATAGAATGTCCCAAAATTACAATGTCGCGCATGACGACGACATAGCTGACCACCTAAGGTCGCCTTTGTTTCAAGTAACGTGATACATCATTTTGGATTACCTCCCACTTGCGGACAATGACCAATCCTCATATCATAAACCTGGAGCTTAAGGATAGCCAATTACATCCCATGCATCATTCGACTATCTAATGGTGATTTTTCTTGTAACAACGTGAGACCTACATCACATGATGTACCGCTGAGGTGACCCATTGTTGAAGGCCAACGACCAAAATCTTCGGTAACACCGAGCCTAATGGTCTCCCAAACAATCAACACTTTCCACGTTAGCCCCCAAAGGTATTATCCAAGTAGAAGTCCAATGAATGAACCTTGTGCTTCACCGCAAAGCGGTTTTAAGAATCAGCCTCAGAATTGGTATCTCGTACACCATCCGTGAATTGCGTCATACACTTTCACCATCAACAATCAAATATGGGAAGGAATGAAAGATACCGATTTGGGGAGATAGTTATTAGATAAGGCTCTTCTGTGGGCGTTTCCAATCCTACCCCTGGAGGATCAAATCAAGGATAATCCACCTTTACATGTCTTCTTGAAGTTTTCGGGAACGAATTGCATCATAGGCAAGTGGGGTAATAAACCAGCTTGTTAACGTTATCTTAAATAAAAGTTTGGGCTATTGTATGTTGGTAGCTAAGGGCTTTATTGTGGAATGCACAAATTTGGTTGATGGAACGATGGATAAGTAGATGTTCTGGAAAGAAGTTATTATCGTGGCGGATTCTTTGGTCATGTCATGTGCCGTTGCACTAGTTGTGCTACAATAACATGCATCTAAAAGTAGCATGGTGCATAGTTCCTGAAACTTGGACGGGTTTAGTAGACGATCTTCCTGCGTACGTAAGCATTGTTTGCTCACCCTTATACAAGGCGTTGGATGTGAAGACCTTTTATCATGGTAATCGGTCTAATCAAAGAGACCCAATATCAAGAAATAGCCACAGCCCGGCGACGAAAATGATACATCATTATGTATCGGCCAGGCCCATTGATGATGGGATTTGGCACTGGCCAATCTTAGTGCGCCGGCGTCCTTGCAACAATCACCAACGCCTTCAGACGGTGGATATTACACGCCCAAGGATGCTACTATGATTTGAAAAGATCAGCTCGAATACCGATTGTTATGGGTCATTCTAACTTACGTGATCCTTGACGCAAATCTAATCCAATGTGCGTTCCACCGCCGACATGATATGCACGGGGGGATAATAGTCAAGGCAGCTTGTTGCTGTATCTATTCTTGAAACAACAACATAAGAATTACAGCTTCAACATTCATAGGGATGTGCAGTATACTAACATCATGATCGCCAAAATGATAACAAGTAGAAGAGGTGAAGCTAGGGAACAATTAACGACAACGCCACATTTTATAGGATTTGTTTGTGAGCACGAGGATGTTGCCGATCATGCTCCGATGGCTGGGCTTGCTGCAGGTAGCAGTGTCTGAGAAAATATAGGTTTTGACATGCATATCATCCCTCGTTCTATTTGGCATACACATTGTGTCCCATAGTCAATAAATCGCTGACATGTAACCAGTTGCGTCCAAAAAGGTGTGCACCGCGGTGATTAAAAAACCGGTTTTTATGCTAACGACCGCGGGTGGGACGAATGATAGGGATATGATCGGCCATGACAATTAGAGTTTTGTAGCAGCAACGAGTGGTTGTGTATGTGTACTCATAGCCAGCGGTGTATCGGGCCGATTTGATTCAATGATGAGTGAACCCAAGTTGCTGGGAATCATTTCAAAGTCAACGTTGAATAGGCAAGAATGGTCGTTATGGAAGAAACAATGGCTGAAGAATATAGCATGTGATAGCTTTATTGAGTGAATGATAGCAATGGGCTCGAATGATATAATAAAGTGAGGAGGTGGAGTGGGAAGGGTGAGCTGATGATTGTAGAGTAATATAGAACACATGGGAAGGTGCCCTATATATGAGACATAGTCCAATCAAAGTGGGTGTTGGATGTTGCGTCACCTGCCTGGAGGTCATTTTGTTTTCACTTTGCGTTTATAGTAGTGATTATACAGCCAAAAGGCTACGGAAGAGAAATTTTCACTGCCTTTCTTTGTAAACAAGGAAACAACTTACAACAGAAACAACCGTTCTGAAAGCCTTCAGTGCTATCGTGGTGAGTATTTGGGGTCCTCACAACCAGCTCATCTGTGATTGGCAAGGGTCTACCATGCTCATCATTCTCATCTCCCCATTCTAGATGGTCTCCAGATTCCGAGTGAAAAAGCTATCACCCAAGCACCCCCTTCCCGTCTACAAAGAGTCCCAACTACCAGACATCACTGATGCCTCTAATGTGCAGCGTGCTGTACCACAGATAGAGACCGGCGTGGAGAAAGAGGAGGAGGAAGAGGTAATTTATCAATATACATTCACACACACACACACACACACACGCACACACACACACACACACACCCATACACACACAAGCACACACAAGCATACACATACACATACACCCGCACCCATACAACCAAAAATCTCATTCTTGCCCCGTCTTGTTCATTATTTTTGGGGGAGTGGCTCATTTTACAATACACATCTATTGTGCACCCATTCTTTGTTCCCCCATTTTACATCACATGGTCTTCATCTCTCTCACACACATACACATTACCTTGTAGCATGATCTGCAAGCTGCAATTTCAGCGCATCACGCGGCTGTGACCACGGGTGCCAAAGTGGAAAGTTACATCCCCACGCCAGATGCATCGTCTACAATCCCTGAGAAGAACTATCATCATCTATACAACAAACATTTCAAAGAACCATCCACCTTGATTCGCTTTTCATCTACCGTGGAAGATGTCATTGGATGTCCTTACGTGATGGATGAGGAAGATGAAGCCTTTTTGAAGGAACACAACAAGGCATCATCAGCCGACCCTATTTCCGAGGACAACTTTGAGCAAATGATGTGGCTCTATGAAACTACTGCCAATCAGCATTGGCCTCATTTGGACTTGGTACTTACTTTGGGTGATGGTGGTGGTCATTGTGTGGTGGTAGAGGAGCTGAGATTTTGGGAGGAGGGGGGTATAATCATGATGACAAGAGCATATCAATGCTGACATTTGAGCTTCAGGATTCTTCACAGATCCCATCGTATGCAGCGTTTCAGGGGGTGATATCCGACAAATCAGCCTTGCTCGAATCTGTTTTTACACATTGGCAAGCACGTCGAAGAGAACATGAAGGTCGTCCCATCATTGCACCTTTACGCTATGAAGATACACAAAAGGGCGAGATTGATCCATATGTATGCTTTCGTCGACGAGAAACCAAGCCTGTCCGTAAGACTCGTCGTACCGATCAACAATCACTTGAGCGTCTTCGCAAGTTACGGAGCGAAATGGAAATGGCACGCAACCTTCTTGAGATGGTGCTGCGGCGAGAAAAGATCCGCAAAGAGGGGCTGGTCCTTGAACACACCGTCTTTGATAAGAAATGCAAGCTAAGAGAATACCAACGGCAGCTGGGTATCAAGGAAGATGAAGATCTTATGCCAAAGAAGAAGCGCAAAACGTCTCTTGAAGCGGGTACATCTGGGTATGTTTACAATATTAGTTACTGTGGTTGCATCAACATGTTTGTAGCAAGGAATGACTAACCAGTAATTCTACGTCATCCCTAGTGCAACTATCAAGATTCCCCTCAACAAGCTCAAACGAGGAGATGACTTGCGCCACGAAAAGTCCCCCATACAACAGGCCATCGAGGCAGAGCTTGCACGAAAACGAGAACAAGATGCTGGCTATGAAGATGTCACCTATGTAAGTAATCATGATCATTGCCTGTGTTACTATATAGCATTTGCTTACGTCTTTTATCGTCATCTAGTGTCCTTATCAACCCTTCCCGTTGCCATTGCCACAGCAATTCTTTCAATCTTTATCCCCACAAAAAAGCCGTGTACGTTTTCGCAAGCGTATTGGTCGTGGTGGTCGTGTGTTTATCGATCGTATTGGCCATCGTATCCAACCATTGGAAGGTGGTGGTAAAGGGGGCAAGCAGCAATCACCATCAGCATTTCAGCAAAGCGCCTATGAACGATATCAATTTGACCATGATTCAAGCGACGATGAAGAAACCATGGAAATGGATGATATGGGCCAAACGTAAGTGTCCCAAAGAAAGAAGCAAGAGAAAGAGAAAAGGGAAAAACGTTTCGGAAGACTCACCCGGTTATTTAGGAATCTACAACAACGAATGCAGCTACTCACTGATACTGAACTCCGAAGCCTTGTTACCATCCCCTTTGCCACGCCAAGCACCAGCACAAACGCCAATAATGCCTTACAAGCTCGGGTCAATGGCACTCGCCCCACAAGTGTTACGCCTACCAGTTCACAAGTAAAAGGCATATCATCATTACCCATGAAACGGCAAAACAGCAGGACAAAAATGACACCCCAGCAAGCAGCCGTTGCTATGGCCAATGGCATGATTGCAGCCAACATGGCAGCAGTGGTAAATGGAAACCAAGGAAAGGCAATGCAAATGGCACTCGCTGCTCATCAAAAACAACAACAACAGCAACAACAAACTTCTTCTCCTCACGTGTCATAACAATACACGTATACAACCGACACATCCTTCTTGTACAGCTTCTTTCTTTTTCCCTTGACCTCGGATTTCGTTTGTAATATATTTGATCACACTCTCCCCTTCTCCTTTCTCCGCATGTGTACACTGTTCCTTCCTCCTCTCTCCATCCCTTTATACATACACATATACAAATTCATATAAAGGCACTACAATACTATTATTACTACCTACACTATTCAATGAGCCTAATGTGCTGAATCCTAGGTTTCATGAGCGATCCCATACAACAGGTTGCCATGGTGACGTCCATAGACTTATTGTAGAAGCATTGGCATCATCCAGTGGGGTGTTCATAAACGCACATGACGAGCCTTTTATTCCATGGTGCCACGTGGAACATGTGTCACTGTTACATTTTGTGGGATCCAGTTGTCTGTTTGAAAAGCAGTGGATGGTCCCTCAACAATGTTGACATGTATGGGATGCATGTGAAAAGCCGCATAAAGTGCATTTATGCTATACATGAACATGTTGTTTTCGTAGTAAGCCCCCATCATTCATACCTCGTTGTTCCAAAAAGTGGCTCCAAATAAAAGTGTGCATGTTGGACATGGATCAGGTTGACTACTAGTGTCATGTTGAGCCAAATAATGTATTGCCTATTACCACCATGGCGGGCACAGTGCATGGCTCATCTTGTCACAAGATGAGTCCAAGCCTTTTAATGATAGCAATCTTCATCACTGGCTATGGATGATAAATAAAATCATAAGGCTGATATCGTTGCACCAATGGTGGATGCTTTCCAAGAGGTAGCAGCATCATAGCAACAGCAGTGGATGTATCTACATTATCAATCCGCATAAAAGCCCCTTCGTTGCATGCGTTCAAGGTCTGCATTGTTATCTTCTTAGTAAGGTTGCTCACGTTTCAAAGGCATTTAGCCCTCAGAGTACATCAATTGGTTTGTGACTTGGATGATCAACACGTTGTAAGTGGGTATTAATCCGGGTATTCGAAATATCGCAACTTGAGCTAAATCATGAGGATATCAAACTTACAGCTGCAGCATCCTGGCATCATGTATTGATGTAATGTTTGGAAACCCTGTTATTGTTGTTTCCTTGTCATCTTGTGAGAACGCCCCGCCATTCATCTATTCGATACCACGCGCCATAAGCTGCAAGTTAGGGTGACGAGATTCTACCTAGTACCATCTGAAGATCGATTGACATGCTGCGATCAATGCATGATCATGTGTCAATTTACTACTATGCACGTAGTTACACAACGCGCATGCCTTGCCATTGGGTGGTTATCGAATCTCGAGAACAAAGTCGATGAGAAGATCCGTACTTCTACGCATCCAATTTCATCAAGCAGCGGATCAATTCCTTTTGAAGACTTGGATCATACCACTGGATAGCAATGTCATCATCGCTAATCAATGACGACTCTCAATCCAAATGCCCATTTTCACGCGTATTCTTTTTGCTACTACAAGAATACCCCCTTTAGGAAGCTACAATTAACATCCCGTTTCCACATGTCAAGAAGTAAGAATGCTAAAGCGTGACCTGGTATGTATGTAATCAGAGCTTTCAATACATCGCTGCCGACTAATTGAAACCAAAACAAGCCCCTCTTCAATAACATTGATTGTTGGCAAAGGCATATGGCTGGTACAATGGAAACGAAAAGGTTGAAGAAAACACGCTTATATAGGTGGGTGTGAACGCACACAGCATTAGGCTTTATTCAACCTCTTTACCATTACCATCATGCTTCTCAGAGCAGCTATCACTTTTCTTATTATTGCTTCTCGTCCGTGGATCAATGCATCACCAGATGCACCCAAGAGTGGGATGCTCAAACAACCAAGCTTGGTACAATATTGGGGTCAAAACTCTGCTGGTGCTACAAGCAGTGGACAGCAGCAACCATTAGCCAGCTATTGCGATGATTCTACGGATGTGCTTGTTATCGCCTTTATCGATCAATTCAATATCGGAGGTCAACCAGGACTCGCTTTGCCATGTGGTAACAATTGTCAAGATATTGGCAATGGTAAGATGGGTGTTTAAGATGCCATCTGCTTATATACATGCTGATCAGCCCTTATTGTATTAGATATCAAGACATGTCAATCCAAAGGCCATACCATTTTACTATCACTTGGAGGTGCATCAGGTGCATATGGATTTCAAAACGACCAGCAAGCAAGTCAATTTGCCGAGACCTTATGGAACACATTTGGCGGTGGCGGTCAAAGCGGTGGCAGCGATAGCAACAGCACTAATGGCACCAGTGATGGTAGCGGTAGCAGTGGTGGTGGTGGCGGTGGTGGTGGGTCACGTCCTTTTGGTGATGCCGTGGTGGATGGCTTTGATCTTGATATTGAAGGTGGCGGTACCACTGGCTATGTCAAATTTGTGGAAGAGCTACGACGATTATACAAGACCGATAGCTCTAGGCAGTACCTCATTACAGCTGCACCACAATGCCCTTTTCCGGATGCCAACCTTAACGAACAAATCTTGCAAGGTGTGGATGCCGTATTTGTGCAATTCTACAACAACTTTTGCAGCATTGATAAGCAATTCAACTTTGACACATGGGATGGTTGGGCTAGCAAAACAAGCGCCAAAGTCTTTGTTGGTATCCCTGGTTCACCCAAAGCGGCTGGTAGCGGATACGTCAGCATGGATCAATTAACACCTGCCATCAGCAAGGTATCGAGTTCCAAGAGCTATGGTGGTATCATGGTATGGGATGCATCTCAGTCATACAGCAACACACAAGGAGCATCCCCCAACTTTGCTGTCGCCTTGGGAAAGCTTGTTCACGGTGGTGGTGGTGGTGAGGGTGGCAGCGGAAATGATACTAGTAGTAGTGGTAGCGATAATAGCACCAACAGCATTCAGGCATCATCACCATCATCGTCTTCCTTTTTGGACTCGGCAACAGCCTCACAAACACCTTGGGCGCCATCCTCCTTTTCCTCGACTGCAGAGGCCATCGATGCAACAACGACAGCCCCATCATCTGTTTGGGAACCATCATTATCACCATCATCATCAACCATCCCTGATAGTGTTGTACCAAGTAGCGCGTCCATTTGGTCACCTGATACAGCCCCATCCACTACCACCCAAATTGTTACAGCATCTTTATCCCTTGGCCTTAAAAGATTCAAAGCGCATAGTAAAACCCGTAAAGTTAAATGACGACATGGATGTCTTGAGCATACTCTTTGCAAATAAATGATCTCATTATGTAAAAGGCAGTATGCCTTACAATCGTACATAGCTTTACTCTTCACCAATGATAGCAATGACACAAGGTTGGTTCTACCAAACAACAACGCGTTACCCTTGATAACCAGGGCAACACGTAAAAAGGGTCGTTTATCCATTTGACTAGCAGCCGCTGTTATTCGCTTCGCTCGTAAACTTTTGATCTTCCGTCGAATGGTTTAACATTACTATACCTCCACCTATGGAGTAATCATCTTATAATAAGCTTGCACGTCGTATACGTAACCACATTACAATCATGTATGTAGTAACCCACACTCATCCTTTCACACAAGATCGCTTTGACCCCGCCGAGTAGTTTGGTTCTCTTAAAGACCCCACGCTTCATAGTAAAATCTTGAGATACGGGCGTTTTTATGCTTTTACTATGATGCAAGCGTGATGCTATATGAAAAGTGATGTTTGTTCATTGTCGAGTAGCTAGACCCTGACAGAGCAAAAGGCACAGAGGGATGTGTTTGTGTAACACAGCTACTTTGCATGACTGGAAGGATTGATGGATTATACTTTATAGTCTATCCACGATAGTCCATATATAGCGAGCTATCAGCCATTTCCTCAAAATCAGCGCTGTTGCAAAATCCACTGCATGGGAACGATTCTCCTGCTCCAGCCGAGCATTTCCATCATTCAAGTTTCTTGATCCGAGCCAATTTGGCTGAGCTACGCTGGAGCAGCAAACATGAAAGTTAATGAATCGCAGACCCTGCGAATGTCTCCGTCTTTCAAACTTTTGGAAGCTCCCATTCCAAATTTTCAAATGAAGCATGAAATTTTTATTAGAGGAAGTTGATCAGCATGCTCGAGAGCACCCTTCTGACCAATTTTCAAGTTGGAGGTGGGCAACTTCGGGGCGGTGGGCCGTCCGCTCTTTTGATCCCATCATCCACCATTTGGATCGCCCCGCATTTTAAATCTTCACAATGAAGTCTGCGACTTTTAAATGAATGGAGTTGATCGGCATGTCCCAGTGAACCTTCTGACAAAGTTTCAGGTTCGAGATGGGGAATCCCAAGATAATACATACTATTTCGATAGATCATGGAACCGGCGCTGACCTCCATTTCCGGCTTACATAGTAAACCCACAATATACCCTATCATTCAATATTTTCTAATGAACATGATGTCTTTTTTAAAACCATGTGGATCAGCATGTCCAAGAGCATGTTGTGTGAAAGTTTCAGGTTCGAGAGGAGTAATCTCAACATCAAGGATTGATGTACAGTGTTCATGCATTTATACAAGAGGTGTCCGATCGATTTACTTTCCACTTCTTCCACTCTCAGCTCTTCCCTCTTCCTCCCATTCTCATCTGCTTGCCCCATTCAAGTATACAACTACCACCTGCGAACGATTGTCCTGTTGCTACCCATCATGTCAATCCTACAACTGTCTTGATGCCATTGTCTTTGACTGAATGGCAAGTCGATGGGCGTGTGCACCCCACGACAACACCCGCCTTTCTTGACACTCCACCTTCTCTTGTACACTCCTCTACCACAATCAAGCGTGGCATCGTTCATTCCAGCGCTTGCCATTAGTGATGTCTTCACTTCATTGTCTCAAACAGCGTTCACAAGCTTGTCATTCTACTACAACACACGCTCTTGCACGTTACTCTGCCACAGCCAAACGTAACAGCAGTTGCCGCAAGCAAGGTCTCTACTCCATTGTCTTTTGCCTCAAGTAACTTGCAGCAACCTGCCTTGTGGTCTTTATTACGTGAACAGCAGATAGCCATTGTATACAAACAGCTTTATTTACGTGTAGCAACTTGCTTTAATACATACGGATGCCAATGGATGATGCCATATCAGCTATCATGTACGCCGCAATACAACAACTTTCGCCTGGATGAGCAGTGATGGGGGGATGAATTGGCAAGGGATGGAAAAGGAAGCATGCAGCGATCACATGGGCTCTTTTCAAGCAACGTATTGTGATTGCAATGGCTATGATGGAGGGATGCAATCAAGTGCGATGATGAGAATCGTGGTGATTACTTGGCGCGTCGTCAGCAGGGACAAAGGCTCATATCACGTTGATTCGGCCGAGGATGATGATGGATTGGATGGGATTGACAAAAGGGCTTATATCTGTGACGAATGGTGTTTTACAGCCATGGATGATGTTGGGATACTCAAGTCAATGCATGCAGCAACGGATTTGGAATCATGGATGAAGGATGTTTATGACGGCAGCAACCAAGAATACAATGACACAATAATCCCTGTTGCCTCTATGTGAATCGCCCATATCTTATTCAATTTGTAATGCTGTTCCTTTATCTTATTTACTTGATAAACATCCACACTACACTAGCAGTTTTATTGTTCGTCTTACTCATTGAATGAAAATTGGATCCAACATGACATTTAGAGGGTATTGTGCTATCAGTTCAAATGTGCGAGATGTGGATGACTTAGGGGAAAGGGGAATAGAAGTTTGACGGTCGCAAGCGACATTGGATTGTTTACATCTTCGTTTGTATCGAGTGCTTTGGTTCTTTATGTATGACACTATACCTTCGTTTAAGCTTCCTAGTTCATATGATGATAAACGAAGGCAGTGGCAATTCTCAAACGCTTGTATTGTAAAGACAATAAATTCAGAGTGAGGGTGTCCAACACAGTGCTTGTTGTTAAATTATACACAAGCTTGGTTCATTGTAAGCTTATTTCATTATGTCCAAGAAAGAGTGAGCTGTGATACAATGTGGTATGAGTACATGAACATGCCATGCTTACCTATGACATGTTTCAGCTATGCAGCTTTATATAAGAATGGGCCAATCCATATAGACTATCATACGCGGACCTTATTATCGACAGCAGGCAGGGGAAGGATCGTTTATGCATCCTCTACCAATAGGATCGATCCCTTCGAGTCTCGTCCTCCCGGGCCTTGTGGCACACATCTAGCTAGTGCTTCATCTTTTGCTCTGTCAGGGTCCAACTACTTGACAATGAACAAAGACCACTCTTCATATAGCATCACGCTTACAAACATAAAGGTGCCTGTATCTCCAAACTTTACAATGAAACGTGGGGTTTTTAATAGAGCAATGGGCTCGGCTTGGCCAACAGCACCTTGTGTGAAAGTTTCGCATTCAATGTCGCAAACAGCCCAAAATTATTTTTTTGGTCGTCGTCGAAGAGGTTGACCCCCCGGATCCAGTTTGGCTGGTAGCGACATTGCGAAATCTGGGATTGGCAAGCTTGACCGTGAAACTTTCACACAAGGTGCAGTTGACCAAGCCGAGCACATTGCTCTAATAAAAACCCCACGTTTCATTGTAAAGTTTGGAGATACAGGCACCTTTATGTTTGTAAGCGTGATGCTATATGAGAAGTGGTCTTTGTTCATTGCCAACTAGCTAGACCCTGGAGAGCCAAAGATGCAGAAGGACCTCTTTGGGTAACTCAGCTAAAAAGTCAGGACTTCAGGGACAATGCATGATAGGTACGCAACCCTCATTTTCAGGTCATACATTGGCAGCTAATAGCCACTTTTGTGCATTCCCAACTTTTGTGCATTCTATTGTAGGTGGACGATGCTCCTGCTCCAGACATTCATTTCCATGATTAAAGTAGGTTGATCCGAGCTGATTTGGTTGAGTTACGCTCACACAAGATTACATCGGTTGAGCTACATCGAGCGTGCTTTATGTCCAGAGTGATGTAATCTCTCTTTGACCGCAGCTCAACCAAATCAGCTCGGATCAACCTACTTTAATCATGGAAATGAATGTCTGGAGCAGGAGCATCGGTCCCATGCAGTGGATCCCGCAACAATGATGATTGGATAAAAGTGGCCGTTAGCTAGCAATACATGCCTGTTCCTAGATGATCTATAAAGTAATTATACATTGACCCTTTCATTCATGCAAACGTAGCTGTGTTACACAACACGACCCTCTGCATCTTTTGCTCTGCCAGGGTCCACCTACTTGACAATGAACAAAGACCACTTCTCATATAGCATCACGCTTA